CCAAAGTATTTTTCATATATTATATTATATATGTCTTTGGAAAGATAAGATTTATAAGATTTTTATTCAACGCGAATGAAGTGATATACAAAGAGCCTAAGGGCATATTCTTAGATCATTCTCCAGTGAATAATACATTGATAACATAATAAACSAAAACCTTCGAGAAAATAAAATTGAATTGAACAAAAGAAAACAAAAACCATTAAAAAATCCCATAAATTTGTTTATACGCTCTTCAACCAGCTGGAGAAGGCCCAGAAGCAAAGGCTGATGAAGCTGAAGCTAACCAGGGAATTGAAGGTGCCAGCACCGTTACCTGTCTTGTGTAAATCCAGCTGCGAGGACAGCTCCTCTGGCACATCCAAGTAGACACGATCCAACCCGAAACTGAAGATTAGCTTCCGCAGCTCTGGCACATTGACGTAATCGCCGTTAGAGGACCAAATGGTCAAGGTGCATTCATTGGTTGCATTTACAGCTGAGACTAGATTGTGTAGTTGTGTTCCGCTATTGGCTGCGATACCGGCTCTTACTGGAAAGGTGATCACCTGCCCGGTAGAGGTCACATTGTTGTCGTTGATGGCCTTCAGCATTGCATCGCACTGCGCCTGAGTGTACTCGCCCTCCCGGTAATCGGCGCCCCAATTGGTAGTCCAGCCAATCGATAGAACGGCCTGCTTGTAGCGCATGCAGCCGGCGAAAAACGGTGCTGGAGCCACAGGCACGGTGCTGTTTGCCTTCACAGGGCCACTGATAATGTCAGCGTTTATCCAGATGGGATAGTTCATCTGAAGGATTTTTTGAATATATAGCATTTGCCATGTTGCTTCATAGAGTTGCTTACCTTAGGTATGCTCTCATCCAGTATACCGAGCGACCCCTCGAATACTTCAATAGACTTGAAGTCCAATTTAACGCCCTTCTCGGCGCCCTCATGGAACTCGTTGTGTGCCTTGATTTGATTCAGAAAGTCCTTCAGTGTCAAGTCCGAAGTGTTGGCCGGTGGATGTGCCATAACCGGTAAGACAGGGCCCTCACCATTCAGCTGACCAAGCACAATGTCCGCCTCAATCATATCAATGTCTCCTGTTAAGTGAAGCGTAGATTGGTAAGAGGAAATGAGGCTGATGGAAAAGCTGAGCTATGATTACCACGAAGCGCCTCAGCCAGCTGTTGTTGACTGTTGACGGCATGGGCCCAGTGAATGGAGGTCAGGTTGGCCGCCTTGGCGATGAGTTTGCCTTTGTCGAATCGAACCATGCCCACTAAAGCATGCTGCGCCTGCTCCTGCAGGACAATATCAACGGGCGCAATAGGTCGCAGTGGTTGCGGTGCTGTCAGCTCGTAGTAATTCACGCTGGCGTTCAAAGCAACTCCATTGATTTTAACCACAGAGTGTGCTATTTAAATCAATGTATTTTGTATTACAATAACAACAATCGTATAGAGTGTCATATGCATATAAATGAGAGACTTCTTACCTTTGGGCAAAACGATTTGGAATTGACGCTCGCGGAGACAGTCACATGAATGAGGAGCAATTGTTTACTCACAAATAGAGTTCAATTCTCTCTATGTGCATGTATGCATATACAGTTTGAACAAATGTGTATGGTGTGACAGAGTCGATTTGTGTACATGTGTGTATAAATATGTGTGTGTGTGTGAGTGTAAGCACCTCCAGTGACGGTTTATGAATATTAGTTTTATTAGGGCGCCGTTTGCTGGAACAAATGCTGCTGCAGCTGAAATTCAACTGCGGGACATTAAATTGAATAAAGAAAGAGGAATGTGATTTATGTTTATATTATGAAGCACTGACATATGGATAGCCATAGTGCGCATGCGCCGTATGATGCAAGTGATGCGAGAAGCTGCAGTTGAAAGTTGTTTTTTATTTAGATAAGTTCAAGCATTATTACCGAGCATGCAAATCAGTATTGCAAGTGGCAGTGACCCTTGATAGCCTCGACGTGGATCTGCGCTATTAATTGCCATGTTCTTGCTGGAGCTACTGGAGTGAAACAATTGCATATTCCTATATTAATCAGTAAGTAATAGTAGACTTGCGATAAGTAAAAGTGATTAAATTTGAAGTACTATTGCTCTTCCTCTTATCGTTGACTTTTGAACATCCAATTAAAATTAATTAATTGTTATGATCTCAACCAACTGAATAGCTAAGGCAGATGATATATATTAATAGTGCGATTATATTATTTAAATTTAAATTTTGTACAATATTATTTTAAACATAATCTTTTGCTTACCGCGAAATTTTCCGAATTTAATAATATTAATTTTTGGATAAGGCCGATAGCTCGGCAAACTAGCGCGACAAAAGATGGATATCGATATCAAATTTGCCGTTTGCCGCTATTTTCAAAAATGATCGGCAAACCGTGAAATGTCAATTGGGCAGAAAGTTTAAGACTATAAATGAGAGACTAATAATTTAAAACCGCAACGGTAATGGTTATTCTTGGTATATTCCGAATAGTAATAATTATATTAGCAGCTTACTTTTGTGCGTCACGTGATTCACATATATGGTATTTCGAAGCTTATCGATAGTTGACTCACATTGGCACTGTTAACATTTGCAATTGAATTACCTTCAGTTTAAAATTTGTCCATTTTAATTCCTATACTGTCTTAATTGAATTTGTACATTCAAAACTAAATGAACTTGTAAGAACCAAAGTGTAATCCTCAGCTTTGAAAACTAAGCGCAACAACATCTGTTTTTTTTTTTTCAGTGTATTAATGTTCAATAACAGTGGAACACAATGTAAAGTTTATTTTGATGTCTCGCAATCAGCTGACGGCTTCTTGCACATAAAACAAAAATGATTATTTATGGAGTGTATATAGTTAGTAAATCCGGTGGTCTCATATTCAATCTGGACAATAATGTGCCACGAATAGAGCATGAGAAGACATTCACATATCCACTGGACTTGGTACTCGACTACGATCCCAAGAAAATTTCCGTGGCATTCAACCGCAAGGATGGTATCAACGGTTGGTGTTGCCTTTTTTCTTCGCGCCCCTCTGTTTAATCACAGTGTTTTGCAGTGGGACATGTGCTGGTCGCCGTCAATGGTATGACAGTGAATGGTGCCACGCTGGAGGATGGTCGCGAAGTGAAGACCATGCTGGAGTCAGCCGACAATTTTCCTATTAACCTCAAGTTTAGTCGCCCCAAGATGACAACAAACGAGAAAATATTTCTCGCAAGTATGTTCTATCCGCTGTTTGCCATTGCCAGCCAACTGAGTCCAGAGCCCAAGAGCTCGGGCATCGAGCTGTTGGAAGCCGACACCTTTACGTTACATTGCTTTCAAACACTGACGGGCGTCAAGTTCATTGTGATCTCGGAAACAGGTCTAAACGGCATGGACCTCTTGCTGCGCAAAGTCTACGAGCTGTATTCAGACTATGTTCTCAAAAATCCATTTTATTCACTGGAGATGCCCATACGATGTGAATTGTTTGACAATAAACTGCAGGAACTTCTATTGCAAGTGGAAAAGACGGGGATTAACAATATTGATAAATAAAATGTATAATTTACTGATAAAACTTTCAAGTTGTTATCATTAAGTCATAGATTTAGAGGAAATCTTATTCATGCGTACAAAATATTTTTGTAGTGGAAGTATAGAAATAGTAGTACAAGGAGAAGTAGAAATTTTGAATAGATTGATCATTATTTTTACGCTTATAATTTAATTTAATTATTTATTTTGTATTATAGCAGTGAAGACCGACTGCCATGCCTTTATTTAATATCTTATGGAATTGCCTTCGCTTCGCATATATAATTAAGTGCAGTGTCACAAAAAACGTCATTAAGCGCCGTTTCCCTCAACTCGATGCATAATTCCTGCAGATTGTTGGGCTCCCCTTTATGCCATCTTAGATAAGGCATGGGCTCACCAGTGGCAATAGAGGTCCATACTCTGTTCTCTGCTAGGCAGTTACCCGATGTCCAATATCTGCTTGATGGGATGGCCGATAGGATCAAATCCATTTCCGTGCTGTTCTCAAAATTGAGCAAGTGTCCTCCCAGTTTGCGGCAATTGTGCGCTGCCTGATGCCAGTTGGCCTTCAAAGTGGTCTGAACATGGTAGAACTTGTTGCCAATTTGAATGGGGAAGTTAGTTTGATATTTAGACTCTGCATCCACATTTACGACTACAATTGAATAATTTATAGACTCTGGTACTTTGTGAATGGAAATATTTACCCGTGCGATTCGACTCGACAAGCTGTGATGGGTCATCGCCTATGAAGAATAGTTAATGAAAATCGAGAGTTTCTGACATGATCTATTAAGGAAAACTTACCCGTCGGACTTGGCATGGCAAAGTCCCATAATTGAAGGATGATTAGTAGGAACACAAACTTATTTCTCATCGTGCTGCCAGTAGCCCAAGCTATGACCGAATGGACAGCGGGTTTCGTATTTATACTCTTCGAGTCGTAATTTTTTTAAACAATCAGCATTATAAAAAGAAATTAATCAACAATTGTGAATTGCGGATTATAAATATTTCAGCAAGGAATTAACTGTCTGATTAGACCGGAAAATTCGTAGGATTGAACCGGAAATTCATTATCTTTTTTAAATTGACGATGTATTTATCAGAAATTAATTTATTAAGTTAGACAAGATACACAAGTAAAAAAAAAAAAAGTATTTTCAAAGATTTTTATCTTATTAGACATTATTGTTCCCATTGGCTTACACGGTATTATCGGGATTGCTGGTTCTGCTGAAGATTAAGTAAGCAAGGGAGGATTAGTCATGTTAACCAAACCTCGTGTTTTTTAACTGATAACTGGACAGAATTATTGCCATAATAAGACTATATATTTGATGGGTTTAGAAAAGGTGGGTAATGTACAGAATAGTTATTGATAATATATTTATATCAGCTGAATTTAGATCATGAACAATAATAGCAGCAATCTATACCTTTTTGACCAATATATTATTCAATTATCATTTTTAATCTGTATTCTCAATATATTGGAGTTGACAACTGTATATGTGTATAGAGGGTGGGGGTGTTGCTGAACACAGCTACATATATGCATATTGAGATTACGTAAGCCAGTATCCCATATCCCAATGCTCGAACTGTAAGAATGCATCAATTAATATATTCTATGGTAAATCGTTGTTTACCATGCCCCAAAAAGTATACCTAAGGAAGTTAGATAGTATAAAAACTGTATAATTGGTAATATTCATGTATTAACATTCAACGAATTTTACAAATTATAATTTAAATATGTTAGACTCGAGTGAACCTTGCATCGTATTCCTATAATCCTGCTGTTTTAGGTATAGGTTGCCTATAATATGTTCGCTTGGCACACATAGTTGAGGCGAGTTTCGCAGGGCTCATCAGATAGTCCGGCTTTTGCCGCTTTAACGCAATATTCATTGCCAGCCAAATTGTCCGGCTGTCCGGGCTGCCAGCTGCTGTAGGGCATGGCCACACCAGTTGCTATTGAAATGAATTGCCTATCTTGGGCCAAACAGTTCGCGGAGACCCAGAACCGATCCGAGTTAGTAATCGATACGATCAATTCCATTTCAGTGGCGCTCTCGATGTTCAGCAAATATCCGCCCCACCTGCGGCAGCTCTCCGCTGCTGAAAACCAGTTCTCCTTCAACTTGGTCTCGATGTAATAAAGCTTACTGCCAATTTTGATCGGGAAATCTCCGCAACTGCTAACGCATTTGCCCAACTCATTCTTTTGAGCAAATAGATTAGCTAAAATCGAAATTGAATTAGTTCTACTTCCACATATAAGGTTTTTATGATTTACTCACGTGTCTCATGCGACATTGCAAAATGCCCCAATTGCATCGAAATCAAGAGTACAACTATTTTTACATTCATTCTGCTTGGATTTGCCAATCGGGCCAGCTCTGACTAAACTCCAAGAATGCTTTCAGTATTTATACCATTTTGCTCAAATACGAGAAGCCAGATAGAAGAACACGATAAGAAAGTGTCAAGTGCTTGCCATAAACTGCCAAAGTAATTGGCTAATGAGGTCGTAAATTCAGCGATACGTAGGGAAGTTACTCCTGAAATACAGTACCTCGATAATCTATTGCACTCACTCACATTTGCAATACATAGATGATTAGGTTAATTACCTTTTTATTTTAAACGGAAGAAAATATTTATAGCGCGGAACTAACAAGTTCCGAAATGGATTTAGAATAAAACTATATCAACATTTTTCTAGAGGCATGTACTATGTTTGATACAAAAGTACCATAAACGAAATGCATGAGTCTTTATTAAATTAGAATGGGAATGGGATGTCGCCTCAGTTGATTACTTAAGTGCAAAAAAAAAAAAAAAGACTATCCTCTGTTGTGCTTCATTTATAAGAAGAGCTCTATCATAGCTAAACACAGTTACATATTTTAAAGAAAATTAGGAATGTATTTTTCAAAGTTATCCAAATGCAAGCAATTTATTGGTTTATTAAGACCATAATCATTCAAGGGAACAACTAGTATTTTAGGATGTCCGAATTATATATTTAATCTTCATATTAGCCAATATGAAAATAAAGATCAATCGGTGTTGCGATCTTATATAGTCAAATCGTGAGGACAATAAAGATAATGAACATATTTCCAATGCAATCAGCCTATTAACTTCTATTTGAAGATTTATAATCCGTAATTCACAATTGCTGATTATTTTCTTTTTTTTATAGCTGATTATCAAAAATTAACCAGAATCGAACAGTATAAATACGAAAGCCTCTGTTCATTCGGTCATATCTTTGACTACAGGCAGCACGATGAGAAATAAGTTTGTGTTTCTGCTAATCGTTCTTCAATTATGGGACTTTGCCATTCCAAGTTCGTCGGGTAAGTTTTCCTTAATAAATCATGTCAGAAACTCTCAATTTTCATCAATTCCGGATTTCTTTATAGTGGATGACCCATTACAGCTGGTCGAATCGAATCGCACAGGTAAATATCTCTATTGGTAAAGTACCAAAGTCTATAAATTATTCAATTGTAGTAGTAAATGTGGATGTAGAGTCTAAATATCAAACTAACTTCCCCATTCAAATTGGCAACAAGTTCTACCATGTTGAGACCGAGCTGCACGTCAGCTGGTACCAGGCGGCTCACAATTGCCGCAAACTCGGAGGACACTTGCTCAATATTGAGAGCAGCACGGAAATGGATTTGATCCTATCGGCCATTCCATCTAGCAGATATTGGACATCGGGTAACTGTCTAGCTGAGTACAGAGAATGGATCTCTATCGCCACAGGCGAGACCATGCCTTATCTTAGATGGCAGGAAGGGGAACCCAATAATCTTTTTGGCGAAGAGTTCTGTGTCGAAATCAAAATAAGTTTACTCAACGATGACGACTGTCGTTTATCCTTAAATTATATATGCGAAGCCAAGACATTGTAAGAAAACTGTAAATTTGTTGTTTACATTTGTTCTATCTGCACAGAGTCAGTTTGGATAAATAAACAGATTTTCACTTTGTATGAATACGTATATTTTAATAGTTTATATAGGTATAATTTTTTTCAGTTTACTGCTAAAGCAATACAAAATTGTTATTTAAGCTACAAGTTATATATGTCTATATAACGGCTACTGGCATACTTAGAATATGTAATGTATTTATATTCGCACTAAATATGTATGTACAGGCTTTGAATATGAATATATGTATGTACACACCCATAAATGAATAATCATTTTTCATAATGCTAAAACGCACATTATTTATATTTCATACATACGTATATCTACATATGTATAGCTAGGTATGTGTGTATCTATAGTACAGACAATTCGATCTCCTGCTTAAATAGTAATTGCATGTTAGGCTAAGGAAATATAATACGAATGGTGCGTAGGCATATGAATGTTTGATATAAAAGTTAATAAGTGTAGAATTTTCTGATATAGTACATATAATAGTGTAAGGGTTACTCGTATAGTTTATTCATAATATTGCAAATAAGATTTGGGACTCTCATTTTGTTTTGTTTTGTGTTGTTTTTGAGCTATTACAACTGGGCCCCATCAAAATGTCTAGGTATACTAAATGATATTGGAAATAAACTAGTTTCGCATAGATCAGATAGTGTTCAAAACAAATCTACCCAGATGATTATACGCAGAGTTTTGCCATGAAGCGAACATTATACATAGAGAGTGTACAATTAATTTAGTTATTATATATTACAATTAATTAATTATTCTTCTCATTTATTTTGGCAGGAACACTTTGCGGTTGGTTCGTTTCATTTCATTTCATTTCGTTTCGTTTCACTACTAAACTGATCAAATTAACAATATAAACAATACAGAAGATAACAAAACATTTCGAACTCTACTCAGTCGTGGGCCTCTTGGCACCTCCTCTTGTTCAGATATTTGGTTCAGCATTATCTAATGACACATGGGAACAGAGCTTAAACTCTATTAACGTATAACCTATTAGCTGACATATGTATGTTCATAGGTGAAATGCATGTTTCTTTGCTTGTATTGTCCATGTTAATTTTCTAGTCTCTTATAAACCATTATAATTTGATTAAATTTAATTTTTTCATCATTTTTTCTTCGTTGTTTGAAATAAAGTTCTTGAAAGGCATTTTTGTAATAATTTCACAATAAACTTTTATATTAATTGCCAAGCATAATTAATTTTAACAGGCTGCTGGGATATGTTTCATAGCACTAAAGACGTTAAACAATATGGGGTGGGGGGATTGTGAGCGCAACTCTCAGATACTAATGCTAGGTTGAAGACATATTCGAAGACTAAACATAACATAATTTGCACTAATTGAAAATTGTATTTCATTCGATTTAACAGTTTATATTTGCTGCCAATTTGTAAATGATCATTTTTTGTTTTTCATTTGCTTAATGTAAATAATTTATATCACAACAATAGAGACAAAGATGGTGTCTGTGTGTGTGGGTGTGTCTGTGTGCGTAATACGTGTGTGAGCTTTGATATGTGTTTATGCGCACAGCTTTCGAGGCTCAAATAACAAAGGCAATATTTAATGAAATATTATTCAATATACACATAAATAATATATACATATACATACACACACACTGAAGCACTCAAGACACACAGTTGCACACACGCATACAACGAGATTACTGCGGGCAATTCACAGACACCCACAGACGCATACACGCACACACACGCACACATACAGACGCAAACGCAAGCGCACGCAGCAATATTCCACTGAGATCCAATACAAGAGTAACGCCCATCGGGGTCACGCCCATCCAGCGCCGATCTAATACTAACTCTTGCTGAGCGCCTTCTTTTTCCTTTGTACCAGAATATCGTAGAACGGATTGTGGCTGATGGACTGTGTCAGGCGCTTGATCCATTCCTGTTGATCCTCCTCCGTTGAGGCCGACATGCGGTAGACCGTGTGCTTGCCCTCTACCACCTGCAGATCAATCGAAGCAGATCAGTTTAGCGAGACTCGATGAGATGCGATTCAATTCACTCACCTTGCCCTCGGAATCAGTCTTGCATGCCTTGATGATATCGGCGCCGCCGGTGGCAAACAGCTCAAAGCAATGCGGCTTGCTGCGATCCTGTATCTCGCGCACCGATATATTCTCGAGCGGTATTATGCCGCGCGGCTCCTTATCTGTGGTATACTCGAAGTAATACAGGCAGTTGTCGTTCAGTATGAACCATCGTCGCTTCCACGATTTGTATCTGTGCAGGGATTTGCTATTAGAATGGCTTAAGGACTACCTAGAACGCAATTTCTTCTAGTTACCTGCCGCCCTGCTTCCAGAGCCAGCCCTCCTTGTCGGGATTGAAGAAGGTGTGCATCAGATCGTTGCCATCGTCTTGGGGTATCTTGAAGGGCTCTGTGCGTATCGACTCGTACAGCGACTCTAGCAGGCCACGGGGCAAATCACCGCCGTTGTTGATGCCACGATTCATCGAGATGAATTGCTCCACGGTGGGTTTGTCTTTGACCTGAAACCGAAATGAGAATGAAAATGAAAATTTAATTGAAATTGAAATTTGAATTGATATAGGCCCGTTGTTGTGAAACAACCGAATTGCGCAATAATAACTAATTAAGGAAACATTTTATGTGCCGCTCGTGCCGTTGAGATCGTTTTACAAGATGCCAGAGCCCAATTAGTGGCCGCTCAACGATTTCAGCTCGTGTGAAATGCGTTAGACTTGACCTATTTTTAGCCCGATGCACAACACTTTTATTTGGTTTTTCTGTAATTGCTCGAACTCAATGTTGCTCTTGCTGCTGGGAAATGGCAAATGGGAACAGAGGGGGTATGGGGGAAATGCGTCGTGTGGACCGTCAATAATTGCTGCCTGACAGGCGACAAAGCATTCAATTCCGCAGTTTTGGGTCACGCGACGTGCATTTCGCTAGCTTTTTATATTTTATTTTCTGCTTTTCTTGTTTTGGTTTTGGCACATTCAACGAACGACGAAACACCAACTACAACTTCCTGTCGCTCCCCAACACTTCCGGTGCGCAAACCATGACACTGAACTGTAATTTGCTGCTGCCAACGAAAAAAAAAAAAAACTTTAAAAAGTTCCCAAACCTTTTTTCCGGAATATTAAAACTTTCCTTAAAACGCTTGAAAGTTGCACAACAAAATAATAAGGTACTTGAAACACACAATTTAAAGGTGATTGAAGAGCAGCAGATATACATATATTCCGCTTTATAAATTTAGTAAGGAATAGTAAACACAAAGTTAAGAAATCATTTATGTGTGAGCAGCATTTGAGGTAGCAGGAGTTGGAAGGTCGAATGATCTATAGATTCATCCCTAAGGAGATTCATAATTAGTGGGGAAAATCCGCAGCTTCCTTTTAAGCTACTACAATCGACTCTAGATAAATTGCACCCTGTGAAATCGAAAATCGCGATAAATCGGAAAAATCGTTCTCGATAATTCTTGATAGCTTGATCTTCGGTGTAAATCGAAAAAAAAAAACAACTATTCCCCTTTATATTTCGGACTAGACTGTAATTATTTTTGATATTTTTTCACCTCCAGGCTCTTTCGATAATCATAAACAACATCACGCATCACTCGACTACTCACCGATGGATTGTGCAGTGATGTGTTGAGCATTATAATGGCGAAGCTGAGCACGTAGCAGGTATCCGTGTTGGTGAATATGTCCGGATTGAGCTGGCAGTAGCGCTGGGCGAATGTCTCCATCATTCGATCGATCTTCTGGGCCTCGCCGGGCAGCCGAAACGACCACAGAAATTGCCTGTGAAAAATGCAACATAGAGAGAGAGTTGAGAAATGCTGAAGTCAACTAGCTGAACTAGCAGCTGTGGCTGTGGAGGGCTAACCTTAGAGCTTGCACCAGTATCAGATTGGTGAAGTCGTGGAGGGCTACAAATGCCTTCAGCACATCCTCGTTGAAATCGTTTTTCTCGCCGAGGTAATCGCCTGGAAATTCAAACAGAAATGAGCATGAAAATTTATGTTATGCATTATGAGTTTTAATTGAATTTCGCCCCCATGCGGGCGTCGCACTGGGCCAACAATTTACGAGCTCTGCTCACGGGCCACGGGCCACGGACCACTCACCTATTGCCGTTTTGTTCAGGCCCTCGCCCTTGTACAGGAAGTGCGCCACATCCTGGGGATCGTGGCGCAACAGTCGATTCTCCACGAGATATTCAATGCCTGCAATTGATAAGAGAAGTTGTTAAAGTTCAACTGAATTGCTCAAGGACTTCAAATATTATGCACTACTCGACGGCAGCTCTGCTGCTGCCACAGCAGATAAGATAAGGACGCAGCCGGAAATTCAAGTTGCGTCGAATCAAATGCAGCCCCAGCCCCCCAGCCCCACACTCGTCATCTACCCATATAGGTCGTAATCGTCAGCGACCCGCAACATATGAACCGCAGCAATCTCAACAATAATAACGAAGAGAAGCAGAGAAATAAATAAAAAAAATAAAAATAAATAAAAATAAAATAGGGAGCGCCAAGGCGCAGACCCGACATCGATGTCATTATTTGCCAATCAAAGCGCGCGGGCCGGCAATTTGCGATAAAAGCCGGAAGACAAGACAGCAAAGAAGCAAAGCGCTCCACGAATTAAAGTGAAACGCATTAGGACCGAGCCACAACTAGCGCGAACTATGCGACAAGCGAACAAATTTGCCAATCGCGTGAGTCCTATGCGATCCAACGATAGCTGGCGCCAGACAACAAGAAACAAAATATATTCGCGTCGTTTAGATGGCAAAGACTTTGATTGTTACGTGTCTAACTATGATGGCATGGTAAGTATATAGAACTGGAGTAATCAAAGTGAGAAATGTATGGAATTATTGATAATAGTCATCAAAAGAAAGAGAAATTACAACAGTTTAAATTTTTGCAGAATCAAAGTCTTTAATCCTTTTTGAGTTATTTATAAGTCATATAATACTTATAAAGATTCATTTCAATTAATCTATAAATAATTCATTAAAATATTGAATATTTACTGGGATTAATTATTTATAGACTTACTGAGTGAAAATATATTTATATACATATCCCCCATAGGAAAAACTATTTAATATATTTATATTTTTTTTATGCAAAAAAACAGTTTGGGTTTCATTTCAGCAAGAAACGATTTAAGAATATTTTTTAAATTTATATACATATTTTTAAACATATTTTAATTTCAAATTATTTATTAAATATTAAAATATTGTTAGGAATTTTATATTCAGAATTTAATAACATTGCATATAAATGTTAAATTTAATTATGATTTTATTCACAAGCAACTACTTCAGGCAACACTATAAACGCCCCTCGCCCTGCCCACAAGTAACAAGTTTTTCCTTTATTTTCGCTATTGCTTCAATCGCTGACAGATTGGCTTTTCAGTTTGATGTTTTTGTTGTGCGTTGTTGGCAATGCGAATTCATCCATATATGGAACAACAACAGCAACAACAACAACAACAACAGACAACAGCAATAATAACAATGACAACAATAATGCGAAATGACAACGGATAATGACAAAGGAGTCGCGCCCGTAGCAGGAGTTTGTCAGGCGATGGCAAAACCATTTCTGTTTTTTTTTTTCCTCCGTGTTTGTTTGTCAGCCGCGCATCACACGCGATTAGCATCAGCAAGTTGGCGGTTGCCCAGCCTTAAGCCACCAGCCCCGCCCACTGCCACCTACCAATACCCTCGATGCGTTATGTATGGCACATTTGTGGGCTATTAATTTAAGTGTGTGTGCGTGAGTATGTGTCGCCCCCTCCCGCCCGCTCCAAGAGCTCGGCTGTTGATAATCGGGCGATAAAGCGACAAATGGCGATGGCCTGTAAAATATCCGCATTCAGCGGGCCACCCGAACCACCCGAGCCACCCAAACCACCCAACAGGGAATGTTTCACATGTTTTTAATAAGCGCCTCGTTTCCCGAAGTGGACTCGATTCCCACTTTGTTATTGCCAGCGGTCGGTCGCTGACTTCACGCCACTTACTACAAATACTTCACTGTGGATTAGCATTTTTATTGTTTTGAGTTTGACGCAGGATGCGACATCGACTGAGGCCCGATGCCTGTCTGTCCCAATTTGGACTAGTCAACGCTAATTTATGGCCAAGAGGTCGATGAAAATATTTGATTGGCTCTTAAATTACGAGACGACAGCGACGGCATCGAGGTCGCATTTTAGAGCAAAGATCTTTCTGGGGGGCTTAGGGGAGAGAGTGCTCGATAAATGGGTCACCAGGGATGCGATGCGTAGAAGGTTAAGCAAGTACAAGCTGCTATTTATATATGTAGCTATTTTTACATTCTCATAACTCATCTATTAATATACTTATATGGAAGAAAGGTTGGGAATGAGCCAGCCTCTGTTGGCATATCAAATTTCATTTCTCAATTGAATCGATTTATCGATAATTGTGTAATGGAAGAGGGATCTCAACTAAGTAAACAGAAGTGCAAGTTATAGCCCATAGATACGCATAGAGAGGGAATGTACTGCCAACTCTCAACTGCTACCCTCTGTCTGCCCCATTATTCACTTTATATATTGTGATATATCGATGACATTGTGTGCTTGTAATCTTCAACTGTGCCGCCCGCATCTTTGGCCTTGTCCGGTCCGTCGCTCAGCGCGCTCCGCTCGGATCTCAAGAATATTGCGACATTGACATTTCCATTAAATGAAACGCCACGGCACTCACTCGTCGGTATCCCGGCTGCACGTACGACAAATGTCAACGAACTGTCAAATTTGTCAGCGTTTTAAGATTGCGCCCGGGTGGGTGAAGACTTCCACGAGACTCTCGCTGCATTGCGCTGCATTCGCTGCAGCTCATCATTCGGGCTCATTACGTTATTAAATTAACTTTGGAATTATCGTCATTGGGCGAACGTGCCCGATGCTCAGCACCGCCCTGCCACGCCCCGACAGCAATTATGGCAGTGTAAATTCGCCTGGCTGTTATGCTCTTTGGCGCCGTCACGCCGCGCCTCGCAGCAGCCCCCCTCCCATCTGAAACAACTCAATTATAAAGCACTTCAGTTCCATGCGTTGCTCGAAATTGCATTGAAATTTCATGTAAATCATTCGCACATTAACATTTCCCACCCGATTTGTCTCTCGGGTGGTTTGTCCCAGCCAACGTCTTTGACTTATTCGTGAAATATGCAAAATTACTGGAATATATTGAGCATAATATATTATTCCTAATTTAGTGGATTTCTGTTGAATTGAAATTACTTCAAGTTCTGTGGGGAATTTTACAGAGTTCTTTTTTTTTTTTGTTTTTAAGCAGGTGAATTCCCAATAATTTCATATGAGTCATTTGAGTTTTTTTTGTAGCTAATTTTAAATTTCCGTATAGAGCTCCGTTCCTTAAACATAAATCTTGTCTTGCTTGTATATTTCTAAGCCTTAGCTTATTTTTTTTCTAATCTATATTTGCTTCAAGCTCACCTTTCTTGGGATCCATATTGAACTTTTTGCGCCCAATCGACATTTGTTTATCTTTGTTGGAATGCTTGTCCTCGGGCACATCGAGCGCTTCCATTTCCGATACGACTTCGCACAGCTCATCTTTGATTTGCTATAAACGAAAGCAAAGAAAACGAAATGAATTAATTAAATGAAACGAAATCGAGAGTTCAAAAAAACTTTCACACCGCACAATTTTGTATGTACAGCAGGCAGAAGCTGAAGTGCCTCCAGCTGTGCCCAGCCGCATGTGAGACTAGATAAAAATAGTCGGGTGGAATGCATCTGCAAACACTCGTATAATTTGCGGAAATGAGCCAGTGACAATTGTTGCTAAAAATACAACAACAACAAGAAACAAAAACACATAAAAGTGTTCACAGCATTTCCAGCAAGCCTCGATCATTCACAATTCACAATATTCGCATTCACAACAAGTGCGAATCATTTGCATGCCTCCACTTTGGCTATTCGATTTTATTTCACTTGAAACAATTTTGGCGTGCTAAAAATACAAATGCGCATAGAGAAATGAAGCGAATTTGATTTAATTGAATTACGCTCGCCGAGACGAGTACCTGACACGGCCTGGGTCCACTTGAGCGGGGTCAAGACACAGCCAGCGACAGCGACAGCGACAGCGACTCGCCTGTAATACGATGTATTCAAAGGGGCGTGACAAATTTGTCAAACACACAATTGAACTGAGGCGAACGAGGCCATTCACTCGCCGAGCACGATGTGTCTATGTATCTGTGTATCTGTGTATCTGTAGCACATATGAGATACAGTTGCTGCTACTGCACTCTAGTGTCTAGTTATTTGTCAGCCTGTTGACGCTTGACTTGGCGAGAGCGCCACGAGACCGGAACATATCAATTGCCCCTCCCCTGAACTGCTCCTCAATGACCTTCTGACTCATTTGCCAAGTCTAACATATACCACATATATACTCTATATATATATATGCAAATCGCCTGTGGAATGCCAATTAAATACGCTGAGAAACAATTGACACGCCGAGCCAATGATCGTTCACAGATTCGTCGTCAAGTCTGAAGTTATGCGATGAGCTCATCCACTTGGAACTCCACACAACGCAACGCCGTGACCCCCTCGAGAATCTGCCAGTTTTGGATCGAGCTGCGGTTTCTTTCTGACTACATTTCATTTGCCAATCAATTCAATAGTTTTTCGACGTGTGATGTTGCATTCTCTGCGGTTCTCCAAGAGAAGAATTTTACAGCGAATCGACAGTGGAATGACTAATCAAATCATCATTAAAAATATGTATATTGATATATAATGCATGATATAAAGCCTTAGGTATGATGTTTTCATTATATAATAACTCGACAGTTTTATGGCTTTTACTTCAGAGTTTCAAATCCTTTCCCATGCTTTACGAACCCTGAGCATACGCCACGCCATTTCCGCTGCACACTTTAAAAAGATATAGCAATAGAAATCAACCATTCAATTAGTGAGCAGGCCAGGCCTGAATTATGTAAATTTTGGAATTTCCAATAGAGTTAAATGCCCAACAGGAGTCCCCCATTAACTGAATGCGAGCTACCAAGCTACGCCCCGTGAGCCAACAACAGACATTTGAGAAATCATGGAAAAATCACATCAAATTGAAGAAAATTGTTAATGAGAAGCGCGTAGAGGGGCATCAAAGACAGGCAGAGAGCAGCGCTCGAGGGCTATTGGCTTAAAGACGGCAACGCTAATCAAAGAGCAACAAAACAGAACCGAGCCGAGCAGAACAGGTGGACAAGGGTCATTGATAGTGCGCAACAGACGTAAAGCTAATGAACGTCAAGCTTTAAAAATAACTCACACTGAACGCGACGCTGGCGACAGGTAAACAACGAAGTCAAAGGTGTGGGAACGCGGCGCACGAGGAAATACAACAGAAAGAGAATCAATCAAGAAACCTGTTTTGATGCAATGCAAATTGTATTGAAGCAGCTGAAACAAAGGCGAGCGAGCTTGAAGCTACGTCTCGAGTGACTTATCAGAGCATATTTTAAACTAGAAATTATTTAACTGTCAATAATGTGGCGTTAACATTTGATAAGACATATTGGCATACATAGATGTGTATGTATTGAATATTATATTTGTTATTCACATTAACTTCCTTTTGAGAGGGCTGTGATACGCAGCTGATTGCAAAGTATAAAATTGATCAGTGAAGTTGAGCAGAGAAATTTCATTTGAATGTGGCCAGAAAACCTTCACAGCTATATACATATTTAAAATATAGATTTCAACTCTATCAGCATTCACTTCAAAACTTTCTTTCATTTTTAGACTGAATGCAACTCCAACACATTTCCAAACACTTGAAACACTTGTATTTCCCAAGAAGACTATTACGTATACGATATTCGATATGTGATATACGATATACGATATTCAATATCCATTTGCTTGGCTCATACCTGCGGTCGCCTCAGGATGGCGACATTGCTCTGCTCCGCATTGTTGCGATTGCGCTCCATGAGCGTTCGACAACTCTCGCAGAGATTCGCCTGTTGGTTGTTATTGTTGTTGTTGTTGCTGCTGCTGCTGTGATTGTTGTTCAGCTGTTTGCTGCTGTTGTTGTTGTCGGCAATGCTGTTGCTGTTGCTATTGCTATTGCTGCTGTTGTGGTTCTGGCTGACTGAGTTGCGTTCGGATTCGCTTTGCGAATTGGAACTGTCGTCAATGAACCGCAAATCGCCCGCCTCTGGCGTCAGCGGTGAGCTCAGGCCCGAGTTGACCATCTCCGACTCAGAGTCCAGCTGCAGTGCCTCGTTATCGATGCCGTCCTCGGCAACGTCCAGCATGCAGCCGAGCGAGTTTGAGCGCGTCTTGCGCGGCGCCTGGGGCGGGCGCCTCGAGATGATCTCGCCCCGCTCATTGAGCAGCAGCTCGACGGGCCGCGATATGATGAGAGTGCGTGTGGTGGTTGTGGTGGTTGTGTGGGTCAGCTCGGAGCGCCGGTTGAAGAGCTGCGTGTTCGGCTCCTCGCTGGGCAGACGCAGCAGCTCCACCTTGCGGCTGACATCGCTGCAGCTAACGGTCTCCGTGCTCAGCGTGGGACTCGCGGGCGGCGGACTCTCGGCTCGCAGCGAGGTCACCTTATAGGTGGCCACGCTGGTGAACGGCGACAGCGAGGGCGAGCGGGGCGAGCGTGGCGTGGAGATGGCCGCCGGCGAGGGCGGAGGCGGCTTAACGTCCACATGCAGCTTCTTCGGCTGCTCCTTCTTGCCCACCAGGCTGCCCAGGTTGCAAAAGCAGCGCGCACAGACGCCGCTGCTGATGGTGGTGCTGCTGCTGTTGCCGCTGGAGCTGCTGCTGCTGGTATTGCCCAACAGTCGGCGGCGATCCTCCTCGGCCTTGCTGGGGGGCGCTGTGATGTAAAAGGTGCTGCTGCTGCTGCTGCGGCTGCCAGGCAGCTCGCTGCCATCCCCCGTGGGCGTGGCGCCACCGACGGCATTGATGCTCAGATCAAAGCAGCTGCGCTGCAGCTGCTGCTTGCTGCCAAAGCTGCCGACGCTGCGGCCGCCCAGCGAGCCGCTCTTCTTGCTCTTGGGCTGGCGGCGCAGCGAGCTGAACCAGTTGCTGATGCTGGGACGCTTCTGTTGCAGCGACGTCGTCGTCATGACTGCCAGCCAATTGCCGACTTCCGTTCGCTCAGTCTTTTATGGCCTTTTGATGGTTGCAGCCCGAAAACGGGTTCGTTCTCTCTCTCTCTCTCTCTCTCTCTCTCTCTCTCTCTCTCTCTGTCTGTTGTTGTGTGTGTCTTTTCTCACTTGTGCTACTGTTGGCCTTTGACTCTGATTCCTGGTTAATTATTTTGGCTTCTTCATGGCGCAACTCTGAAAATGTTGTAGAGTTTTGTTTCTGTTTTTGTTTTCGTTTTTGTTTCTGTTTCTGTTTCGGGCGCAGAACTCACAGCAATTTACAAGTACAAAGACGCGACGACGCACTGAGCAATGCTTGATGCCCATAAATTCATTAGCTAATTATTAAGATGCCGCGGCGCAGCTCAGCCAAACAAACCCAGCAAAGCCCACCAAGTGCCCCTGACAGGAAGTGCCAGACAGGACACGACCTCAGAAATTGAATTTGCTGTCGGCGCACAACATTTTTCGGGTTTCCCATGCTGCGGCTGCCACTCGAAAGAAGCGCGCCGTGGCGACACAAAACAAATTACGGTAATGGCGCGCAGGTTAAGAAGGTGCTGGCGTTTGTTAATCCCTGCGACAGGACGACAACGAGGACAACAACAACAACAACAACAACAACAACAACAACAACAGCAACAACTACGCAGTTTTTACCCGCCATATCTTCACGTGTGATTTGTGTAGAGCTGGCAAACACTTTAAGGCTTTTGGGCGAGTCTAGCGACAGGAACAAATGGAGACAGACAGACACACACACACACACACACGCACACACACACACATATATAGCCCATTGTTTCATGTTCCATGTCCCGTGTCCCGTGATTTATTGCGTTCCTTTTCTAATGTTTGCTCTCTTTTCTCCATTTACGTTTCGTTACGTTTCGCTTTCGCCTAACGGAAGGAAGTCCGTGCGATAAAGCCCGTGAATTGTTTTCGGACAGCCAAACTCTAATTGGAGGCATGCTGGCCTGGCCATGTGGCACAATCTCCATGGCAAATAATGGATGATGCCTGGGATTAAGTCGGTTAGCCAGCAAAAGTCACTCAGCCATGTGCAGCAAGCAAACAACATTTGCTTGGCGAGACATCTCAGCTCGCAGCTTATTATAATTTATGACATTTATTCTATGCGAGAACATCTGTATACATATGTAGAGCTTCGGGCTGGAGCATTTGTCACGAGCGTGGAGCAGGAAAAGGAAAGTTGTCGAGTAGCAACTGCAGCCACGAATTAGCATCCAACAGATGGCAACGATGCCACAGGATATTTGAGAAAACAAATTCAAATAAATTGAAAATGGGCAATAGCTAAATTTATGCAAGTCGAATCATGTAGGCTTCAGTTACTTTCCCACCGAAGATCTCAGGAATCAGGAAATTTTACGGAAGAAACTACTAAAATAAAACTTTAAAAACTTTTCAAAAAAAAAAAAAAAAAAAAAAAAAAAAAAAAAAAAAAACAACTACTGAGATCCCATATCTAGAAACTCATATCAGACTATATATCTACGTGAAGAACAACTTGATTATAGACTTTAAAAGCAATGGGAATATCTACTCACTTCTATAGTTCAAATTATATTTAATTATCGGCTAATTGTAGCATACTTAATAAACCATTTACGCCTCAGCACTAGCAATAATCTGATTTAACTTGAATTTAAATTGAGATTTTATAATCTCCTTTAAATGAACTGAAATTATATCTTAATTGAAGCACGTACACTGAGTTCATATATGTAAGTCTAACGATCGTTTATGCTAAATTGGACAGTTTGGCTTCTTATATTATTGTTTGCGTGACAGCAATATTATTTTTAGCCCCAAAAATTTATGGCCTTTTCTCTTAACACTGTTTATTTAGTTTACCAATGTCAAAGCTCTTGAGGTCCCCAGGGAACCATTGGCGGCCGTGACTAGGCACAGACGACGCGATACCAGAGGGAATCAAAAGAACCAACATGAACAACAACAATTTACCTGCCACGCCCACGCTCATAGCACTGCCAACTTTAAATTACGTGTAACTCGGCATAATGTGCCCAGAACCTGAAGCCTTCAACCTGCTCCATGCATCCATGCATCCTTCGCCAGCAGAGAACGTGATTGGATTCCACAAGCAACAACAATCAAATCAATCTCAATCTTTATACCTCTCTTCATTTCCAGCTATTTGTGCGGGCACATATATAAATATATATGTATATGTAGACGTACATGTCTATGTATGCCGCAATAAAAGGCGCGCCGGCATTCGGAAGATGAGAGAGAGAGAGAGAGAGAGAGAGAGAGAGAGAAATAAACGAATAAGACGACAAACAGAACAAACGCAGCTCAGGTGAATACCGCAAAGGTATTAACAAGAGGCAAATGAAATTTGTAAACAAACTATCAATCAAACAAATGCGCTGAATAAACACGGACAAACGAAAGAGATAGCGAAAGAGAGAGTGAGAGCGAGAGACAGATAAAGACTGAAGAGATGTATATAGTCAGATAGAGCGCTTCTCGGATGCAAAGCAACAGATAAAAGACGACAGACAGCTTCAAGTGCTCAAAACAAAGCTGCGCTTGCTACCTGTTCAACTTCTCTCTCTCTCTCTCTCTCTCTCTCTCTGTCTCTCTCTGATTTGATCTTTCAGTGTGTGGGCAGGAAATGCGCTTTGGCTGTGCCAAACTAATATGGCATGTAAAATTCTCCCGGTTTGTGTTAAACTTTTGTTCATCCATGATGAATGGCCAGAGTGGAAAAGCAAAGAAAATAAATAAAGAAAATTCCGCCTGTCAGACGGTAGCTGGTAGCTGCTAGCTGGCAGCTGGCAGCTGGGCGTTGTGCCGCAATGGGCGTGGCGCATGCAATTTATCTTGACATTTTAATCTGGCCCATTGTAAGCACTGAGCACTAGAAGCGCACAGCCACAGTGCCAAGTGTTACCAATATGCAAGTCCAGTGTGGCCAACGCCTTTGGGTTAACACGCTCTTTAAAATCTACTTTGCCCCACGCCCCGACTACGACGGGGCCACGTCTTTTTCCCGAAATCCAATTAGACAATCAGACACATAAACAATGGCTACGTAGCCGAAAAAAACAAAAAAAAAAAAAAACAAGAAACAAAAACAAAAGAACATTAAATGGCATATAGATGCAGCATTGATGTGCCATGCTCAACTAGCACATATCCTGTATTTAGTTTAGTTTGCTGCAATATATATAAACTTATATACAGTCGAGTCTCCACAATTTGTACCATGATAAATCGAACAGATTCTATGCCCTTGAAAAAAATTAGTTCTCAAGCATTTTCGATAATTTGAATTTCTGTGTTAATCGAAAGAAACTGATTGCTTTGCTATTTATAGGATACGTAATGATGGGATATGATATGTGTATAAGAATATACAGTAGAATCCCGATAATTCGATAATATCGATAATTCGATAATATCGGGATTCTACTGTATATTCTTATACACATAGCATATCCCATCATTACCTATTCTTCCATTTTCCATTCCATACTTCCTTGCACTCAACTGCAATAGTTACAGGGCATCGCTTATTGCCCAGCCGCACTTAACTAATCGGGCTTAGATTCGTCTACGGATTTGGCTACGACTTTTTTTTGGATCTACTGCCATTTGCTGCTGCAGACTTTCACTTTCGTCAGCAGAATGCAATTAAAGGCAAGCTTGGCTCGCCACATTTGCGACTGTGTTTTCCTTTTGTGCTGTTTTCTTTTGTCTGTGGCCCTAAATGTATCTCAAAGTTTGTGTGTATCTTGGAGTACGTATTTATACATGTATATGTGTGTAGGTGAGCAGGCGCCGGATGGGTCATTGCACGTTGTCGTCTAGAAGTCGCATTTGGTCGGGAAAGTGTGAAAAATGCTCTTTTCCGCAGCGCATTTTCTTTCTGCTTGGCGTATTGATTGACCGACTCGCTGCTCTGTGTGCGCGTGTGCGTGTGTGTGTTTGTGTGTGAAAATATGCGAACACTTTAACGAAGCTAAGAGGAGCTTTTCATTCACTATAAGCGCCTTACAAATTATGTTTTATAGACGTCTTCTCCAAGACTGTTCAGGCGTCTAACTATTCGAGTGCACTTAATTAGCTTGGATAATTGATGGTAAAAGCAAGAAATGCCTTCTGATCACAATGAGATATTTTTGTACTCCCAATGCTTGTAGAAGCAATAGATGAATCGTTATAATCTATACTATACTTCTGACTAAGCTTTAGTGTTTTAATAAAGATACAAAAATTTTAAAAATATATATAATCTTAAATAAATATTTAAATCTCTCATATATCGCAAACTTATCCGTTTTCTATTCCGCTAATAACTTGGATTGATTCGTTCTTTGTTCCGTTAAAAATGAAAGCTAGGTCTTAAATCTATTTGTACGATTATGGATATTGCTCATTAGGCTGATGGCTGCCAAGGCAGCATCAAAGTTTGCTTATTATTATTTATTTATCCACCCCAAACAGTCAGCTAATTTCAGCTGGACGGATGGACTGACTGACCGCATGCCATTTATGCGATGAGAAAAATCTCCAAAAACTGCCAAAAAGATTTTTGTTTGCTGTCAGTTGCTGCGCGCCATTTTTTCACTGTTTCAGCGTCAAATGTAAATGGGGAAACGAACAAATACAAAACAAAAACAAAAAACTAAATCGAAAATGAAAGAAAAACAAAGCCACAATTTGCATCTTGCCTGTTATAGAAAAATGACGCAACTAGACAAAAATCGAAACTAAAATATCAACAAATATGTACGTCCATTTCCTACATATGGCAAGCAAATTTAATGTTTTAGCAACGGCGAGTCCGTTGTTTTATTTGGCATTTGAAATTTTCCTCTTTTATACCCTGTGCAAGAGCTGAATAGAGGGTAGCATGAATGTATAGTGCCAAAGCTCTTTTACTTTCAACAAAATGTTAAGATTAGAATAAGTCAAACCAAATTTGAATTTTAAATTGCCTCTCTCTTATACAAGTTAACAAGTTGACTGTGACAGAGTATTATGTAGTCGGTCAACTCATTGTTATTGGCAAAAGTAAAAGTTAGATCATTTTTGACCTCAGACAGAATACGCATTTTTGCTTTTAAACTTGGATATATATATTATCATTGCTAAATTAATTGAGATCTACAGAATTAAAAAAAAAAAAAAAAAAAAAAAAAAAAAAAAAA